GCTGCATCCATCCCTTCTCGGCCGTGGAATATTCCGTCACCATCACCAGGAGGGCCATGTTCTTCCTCGTCATCAACTACGTCCTCCCCATGGTCGTCATCAACGTCATCGGTCGGTCGACCGGTCGAGCCGAATGTAGTCCAGTATCTTAGCATGGAGAAGGAATAGGATGAGGCCTAGAATAGTTTTTTACATTCGGTATATGGGACCTACCAGCATGCCTATTTAATCCTGCGAGAATAAGAACATTTTGCAAATGGCCTGCAAATTCCTTCTGCAAACTAATTCAGTCTGAACCAGTGGCAGGTTCTTATTGAGGGTTCTTATTGTTTCTAAATGAACGACGCCAAAATTGATGAACTCATGTTGTCACGATCCTATTCCGCAAAAAAAAAAAACCGATTCGATTGGAACTCATTCTTTAGGAAATTCACCTGGAATGGACAATCAATTCGTCATCACCATGACTACCAATTAAAATAAGTTCGATGATTTCGATTTTGCAGGACTATAACTCCGGTGAAACAATGGTACAATATGTCCTTGGTATGAATGGCAACTCCACATAACTCCAGCTCTATTCTTTAATCCTTTTAAGTGAAAAAGCACTGGAGAATGCCAAAGGGAGAAATTGTTTAAGCGACGAATGTAAAAACTTGAGATATCACGAATCGGGTGAAACTCTGCCGATGTTCGAGTCTCGTCCGAATTTGTAGGTAAGTATAATATGGATGTATCCGTCTGAACTCGATCTGGATCGTTGATGATCGCTAGCCCTGTTGGCGTTCCTGGTGCCATGCGAGAGCGGAGAGAAGGTGACGCTGGGGATCTCCACCATGCTCAACATGATCATCTTCCTCACGAGCATCCGCGACCTCCTCCCGCCCACCGGACAGATCCCTCTCATCGGTTCGCCTCCGTCTTCCTTCTAATACATATAGAAATAGAGTGTGATAGTCTAGGTGACGAGAGAATGAATTTTCGTGGATGGGAACTCGATCGCTTAATTTGAGTCCATTTCCCGGGTTCAGGATCGTCAGAGGCTCAATGGCCCACTTGGACCGTGATCCAATCAGGTTTACATGGACGGTCTTGAAATGGGTAATTGAATTATATAAAAGCTGAAAAAAACGGGGCAGGAGACAGCCCACAATTGAGCGACCCCAAATGTGAATAAAAGATGGCATAAATAGTTCAAAACGCATTTTTGCACAAATTGAAGTAATGAAAACCAGCAGTTCCAGCACTGAAACATATATACAGGTTATGCCAAAAATAAACAACAAACATAGCATTTTGGGGAGTTGTCAATCTGATAGAAGAGATAGACGACTCACCAAAATAATAGCATTTTTTTGGGCCCACCCTGTATATATAATAAAATTAGAAAATTAAAATCAGGAAATACATATTCGGAAATTCGCTAACTTTTGACATTGCAATTAAACCCGCTTAGAGGTCTGACCCACATTCGGAAAACACGAGAATCGCTTCCATCTCACAAACATGAGGAAACATTCTCAAAAAAGGGAAATGTCCATCCTCATATTCTCCCATAGGAAAGTTCTACTGCGTCTGCATCTGCTTGGTCGGGCTGGAGGTGGCTCTCAGCATCTTCACTCTTTACCTTCACCACCTGGAGGGCATCCCCTTACCCAAGTGGATGCAGGACTTGTGTCTGATATTGACCAAATTGCCCTTGATGAGGCAGCCGAAATTCATCCAGGTCTGAAAACTTTTTTTTTCTTATGAATTCCAATCCACGTTGGCGTCATTTATGTCTGGATGATGGATGCCCCCAAAGATCGAAATAGGGAAGTCAAATGAAAAAAGTCTAATTTTTCCCCAAAGGAGGGAGTCGACTTGAAAATTGCAATTGCTTATTTCAATACGCTGTTCAGGGCATTCTCCTTTGAATTCTCCTTCTCCAATTTTTCTTTCTCCTTTTCGCTTCCATCCTGTTTCTGAACGATAATTTTGGGGGACATCAAAGGTTTTTTCTTCTGTCATGGCTTATTCGCATAATCCAATTTCAAAGTGCTGCAATATACTCGACATTGCGGAAAAGGAACGAGCTAAAAACTCGTTTCAAGAACTGTTCTAGTTTTAAAGGGCTTTTCAGCATTTTTACAGCATTTTTTGCAGGATTTATGAAGCTCAGCGAACTGGTTCACGGCCACACCCTTCTGTCTCGTTCTCGTTTCAGCGCAATACATTGTGAATGACTTTCCATTCCCCATCGGCGATAAGAAAAACTTTGATTGCTGGCACTGCCTCCTAAGATGCAATTTCTTCGTCTTGGAGAGGCATGAACAGCGTATTGAAATAAGACACTGCAATTTTCAAGTCGACTCCCTCCTTTGGGGAACAATTAGACTTTTTTCATTTGACTTCCCTATTTCGATCTTTGGGGGCATCCAGCATCCAGACATAAATGACGCCAACGTGGATTGGAATTCATAAGAAAAAAAAAGTTTTCAGACCTGGATGAATTTCGGCTGCCTCATCAAGGGCAATGGTATTCCAAGGCTTCATTTCGCATTTGCTGGAGATCGGGCTCACTTGGGCTGCATGTTGGAACGTAGCGAATGCAACTCGATGATCGTTGGCATTATTCTTCGCAGGGTTCATTCCGATTCCTCTCGTGTTCTCGGTGATATGCGACGTGTCGCGTCGTAGTTGTTCATTCCTCGTGGGTGCTTGGGCGGTGATGGCGATGTTTGGGATCTTGAGAATCGTCACCGAACATTCATTCGATTGCATTTACCATCTTGAATTGCCATGAAAGAAAGCCGATGATGCTAATCCTTTTCGTCCGCACCGTGCCGCATTTTCAGCCTATTGCCTTTCCTGTACGTGCGTGAGCGACTTCGCTCCAGAAAAAAAAGGAAACACGGAGCTATCTTTTCCGAATCCATTCATCGGAATGGATTCGGATCGCTCGGGGACGTTCTCCACGTTTGTCGCGTTTCGTCGCTTCGTCTGACCTTAGATCGTCATTCTGTTCCCGTTCTGCAAGAAAACAATTCAGCACCAATATGTTTTATTAGAGGACCAAAACCCAAATGAGGATGGAGCATCGAAATGCTTCCTCGGCCCGAGGATAAGTGTAACAATTCACATTCATCCCGTTGAAATTCCTTCAAAAAATGATGAAAATCTCAAGTAACTGATCGATTTCTCGAAATGGGAAATTGCGTGCCCTTTCCAACACCCACGAGATTCGTCATTTTCAACCTCATGGGACTCCAAGGCTTCATTTCGCACTTGCTGGAGATCGGCTCATTTGGGCTGCATGTTGAAACGTAGCGAATGCAACCCGATGATCGTTGGCATTATTCTTCGCTGGGTTCATCCCGATTCCTCTCGTGTTCTCCGTGATATGCGACGTGTCGCGTCGTAGTTGTTCATTCCTCGTGGGTGCTGGGGCGGTGATGGCGATGTTTGGGATCTGGAGAATCGTCACCGAACATTCATTCCATTGCATTTACTATCTTGAATTGCCATGAACGAAAGCCGATGATACTAATCCTTTTCGTCCGCATCGTGCCGCATTTTCAGCCTATTGCCTTTTCTGTACGTGCGTGAGCGACTTCGCTCCAGAAAAAAAAGGAAACACGGAGCTATCTTTTCCGAATCCATTCATCGGAATGGATTCGGATCGCTCGGGGACCATCTCCACGATTGTCGCGTTTCGTCGCTTTGTCTGACCTTTGTCACTTCCGAAAGGACCTTTTCTCTTGTCAGTCCGCGGATCCTTGAAGGTGAATTCGTTGAGAGTTGAGGTTCCCTCGTCGAGAGTTGAGGTGCCCTCGTCGATAGAAGGGGTGGATCCTTGTGAAAAGGAAACGATTGCACCGCTCGGAGACTGTAGCAGACGATTCCGCTTCTGGATTGGCTGGGATCGGCGATGAGACACTTTTCCACCCGAAGAAGGGTGGGAAACCTCCAAGGATCGAAGTAACGCTTGCCAAAAATAACCTGAAATGTTTGGAAATAATTCTGGGGTAAACTTTTGATGCTCTCGACAGAAGACGAAGATTTATTGGTGAAATGGAGTGACACGACTTCGTGCTGGCGACACGCAGGACTTTGATTAAACTTGACTCAAAATCGCTGCGCGATTTCCCAGTCTTTCCGAACTCCGAAAGGGCATTCCTCCTTCAGGCCGGCAACGAAGAATGCAAGCTGAAGCGGCGATCGGATGCCGTCGATGGTCGGCCCCTCACCCGCAATGTCATCTATACAAGCTTTTTTTGTTTTTATGAATAGAAATTGCGAATGATCCATGGCCGACACGGGGTAGCTGCCATACGAATCTGTGCTTCCGTGACACATCAAATCTGGCAAACTTTCCTCATTACTAATGAGAAGAATGACGTAAGGAACACGGGGGAAGAAAAGGGGGGGGGAAATCTGAAGAAGGGAAGTGAAAATATGAGAGACATTTGGGGAAATGAACTCCGATTCACGAATTTGGGGTATACAGCATGATTCCGATGGAGACGGCGACGTTGAGAAGAGTGAAAAGGTAGAGAAAGAATCGATCCAGGACCTTCGAGGCCATCCTCCAGTTCTCCAAGTCCGCTCCGATGCTCACTCGCCCTCGTGCCATCCGCGTCCCCGTCTCCCGCTCCCATGCCCGCTCCTCCACGAGTTCCGTTCGGGCGGGAACCCTGCCCGAACGCTCAGCCTTGTCTGACGGTGGCGAAACTGAAATTGGGATTGGATTTTCACGTGGAGAAAGTGAGAGTTGTTTCACTTTATTTTCCCGATTTCAAATAGCAACTGATAGAAGAAACATACAGGAAATGGAACGTTCTTATGATTTTGGCTGTAGCTTAAGCTTTCTGCTGCGCAGATGTAAGCACCTCCACCGCAAGATGCACTTAATGTCTCTTGATAATTATGAATATTTATACTTTGGATTATTTGAAGAGATCTGCGACATTGACGCTTGCGATTTCTTGAACCACTTTTGCTCAACCCTTGAAAGGCCGGTCGCCTCCATAGCATACTTATACGCATTGTTCTGAGTGTATGCAGGGGGGGGGTGATGGGGGAAGGGGGATGGGGGAAGGGGGATGGGGGAAGGGGGGTGTCACGATCGAGACTTTGAATGTTCCATTATGAGGCGATGAGGCATTCTGACCTCTCATGAGCCTCATCTGAGGTCATGAGGTATGTGGACTTCAATCACGATCAACTGTTTTCAACCATGATGGTGAAAATGTCACCTGCATTAAAATTTTTTTTGTTTCAAACGGAGCTTTCTCAGTCCATCATAAATCGAAATCACCAGCGCTTGAAAGCCACACACGGCCAGGAATTTACCATTTCGGTGCCTTTCCTCGTGCGAGGGCTCGCGAGGACGGTGGAGAACCACGTCAGCGAAGAAGAGAGGAAAGGAGGCTCTCTGAGCCCAGACCTCCCCGTCCGTGTCCTCCTTTTCTTTTTTCTTTGCATTCTCCTTTGCATTCTCCTTCTCCAATTTTTCTTTATCCTTTTCGCTTCCATCCTGTTTCTGAACGATAATTTTGGGGGACATGAAAGGTTTTTTCTTCTGTCACGGCTTATTCGCATATTCCAATTTCATAGCGTTGCAATATACTCGACATTGCGGAAAAGGAGAGAGCTAAAAACTCGTTTCAAGAACTGTATTTGTTTAAATGGGCTTTTCAGCATTTTTACAGCATTTTTTGCAGGATTTATGAAGCTCAGCGAACTGGTTCACGGCCACACCCTTCTGTCTCGCTCTCATTTCAGCGCAATACATTGTGAATGACATTCCATTCCCAATCGGCGATAAGAAAAACTTTGATTGCTGGCACTGCCTCCTAAGATGCAATTTCTTCGTCTTGGAGAGGCATGAACAGCGTACTTGAAATAAGCAATTGCAATTTTCAAGTCGACTCCCTCCTTTGGGGAAAAATTAGACTTTTTTCATTTGACTTCCCTATTTCGATCTTTGGGGGCATCCAGCATCCAGACATAAATGGATTGGAATTCATAAGAAAAAATAAGTTTTCAAACCTGGATGAATTTCGGCTGCCTCATCAAGGGCAATTTGGTCAATATCAGACACAAGTTCTGCATCCACTTGGGCAAGGGGATGCCCTCCATGTGGTGAAGGTAAAGAGTGAAGATGCTGAGAGCCACCTCCAGCCCGACCAAGCAGATGAAGACGCAGTAGAACTTTCCTATTGGAGAATATGAGGATGGACATTTCCCCTTTTTTTTTAGAGTGTTTCCTCGTGTTTGCGACCTCGAGGCGATTCTCGCGCTTTCCGAATGTGGCTCAGACCTCGAAGCGGGTGTAATTCCAACGTCAAAAGTGAAAATAATTCTAAAATATATGTTTCCTTGGTATGATTTAAATGTTTGAGCGTTGAAGCTGTTGGTTTTTATTACCTCAAGGTGTTTAAAAGAACATATTGAATTATTTCATCTTTCTTTTATTTACATGTAGGATCGCTCAACTTTGGCGTTTTTTGATTCGATTTTACATTTTTTTATTTCATCTAATGACCCATTTCAAAACCGTTCACTTAAACTTGATTGGGTCACGATTCAAATTTTACCATTAAGCATCTGGCAATGATCCTGAACCCGGGAAATGGACTCAAACTAATCGGGTGGGTTCCTATCCACGACGATTCCTTCTCTCATCATCTAGAGCATCCCTCTCGATTTTGCGCTCATGTATTTGCGACAGATGAGAAGGAAGTCGGAGGCGAACCGATGAGAGGGATCTGTCCGGTGGGCGGGAGGAGGTCGCGGATGCTGGTGAGGAAGATGATCATGTTGAGCATGGTGGAGATCCCCAGCGTCACCTTCTCCCCGCTCTCGCATGGCACCAGAAACGCCAACAGGGCTAGCGATCATCAACGATCCAGATCGAGTTCAGACAGATAAATCCTTATCATGCCTACAAATTCGGACGAGACTCGAACATCGGTAGAGTTTCACCCGATTCGTGATATTTAAAGTTTTTACCCTTTCTTGATTGAATAATTTCTTCCCCTTTGGCATTCTTCAGTGCATTTCCACTGAAAAGGATTAGTAAGATGCATTAGAAGAGTGTGGAGTGGCATTCATACCGTTGTTTACAGTCCTGCAAAATCATGGAATTTCTTTTAATTAGTAGTTGTAGTGATGACGCATTGATTCTCCATTCCAGGTTAATTTCCCGAAGAATGAGTTCCAATCAAATCAGCTATTTTTTTGCGGAATAGGACCGTGACAGTAGTCCATCAGTTTTGCGTCGTTCATCGAGAAACAATAAGAACCCTCAATAAGGACCCGCCACTGGTCCAGGCTGAAAGAGTTTGCAGAAGAAATTTGCTGGCCATTAGCAAAATTTTCACGCCATTTTCCTAGGATTAAATAGGCACCCTGTTAGGTCCTACATGCCGAATGCAAAAAACGGAATGCCTCATGAAATCCAGCGCAAAATTTTAGCACGGGCTCAACGGAAAGCATGAACCTGAAAACAATAGTTGGAAGAAACCATCATCCGTTCCTCCCTCACTGTAGAATATGCATTTAAAACTGCCGAATGATTTCCACGATGCATCTTTCTTTAAAAATACTTTTCATCTATCGGCAGTATGTCATACGATATTTTTCTGTCTAGAAATGGAATTGCGAAATTGGCCTCAACATCTCCATCCTATTCATTCTCCTCCAAGCTATGATACGAGACTACATTCGGCGCGACCGGTCGACCGACCGATGACGTCGATGACGACCATGGGGAGGACGTAGTCGATGACGAGGAAGAACATGGCCCTCCTGGTGATGGTGACGGAATATTCCACGGCCGAGAAGGGATGGATGCAGCACGACCGGTCGACCGACCGATGACGTTGATGACGACCATGGGGAGGACGTAGTTGATGACGAGGAAGAACATGGCCCTCCTGGTGATGGTGACGGAATATTCCACGGCCGAGAAGGGATGGATGCAGCAGGGGTCGGTGTGGTTCTTCGCGACGGCCGTGTACGATTCCAACGCGAATTCTGCGCTCTCCGTGTAAGCCACCAGCTCGAGGTCGCGGTCGGTCTCAAGCACCATCTGGACCTGAGGCGATGAAAAGGCATCGGAGCGAGTGGGACTCCTGCCGTGGCGAAGGGAGCGTTGCGTGTCGTGTACCTTGTCGGACTCCTGCGTCCAGGACATGAAGAGCATGGTGCACGTTTGCCTGTCGAAGGGGAAGCTCTTGGCGTCCACGTTGCAGGAGGAACGGAAGTTGGCCGCGATCTCCAGCATCACCTCCCCGGTGTGATCCAGGACGAGGGTCGTGATGAGGATCGACAGTGATATCTATATATTGCGACTCGGTCAATGAATGGGATTCGAGCGGAGTGGAGCCTCTATCCATACCCTCTACTCGATGATAAAAGGGACCAAGCTAGTACACAATCAATCAATCAGCGATACGAGAGGGATACGATGGGGGATATATACTTCAGAGGGAATGAGGGGAATCAAGGGGCACAGGAATTTCTGATCTCACAGTAATAGAGATAAACCAGGCGATCTGGAATGGCTAATGCCGAAGGATTGGGATGGGAGGGAGAGAGAACAAGACTTATCGTTCGTAAACGACAGGCTAGGAACGTTAGGATGAGTTCGAAGCATCATCTTGCAGACTCTATAACGTAACGCATCCTCTATCTCCTCCTTCCTCGAAGGGTAGAAAGGGAGAGAACTTGACTCCTTAGGAGCGTGCCATCTTAGGGCACTGGCCTTCGTTTCTGGGCATTTGGAACCTCTCCTTTCATTCTCAAAAAAGGGAATTGTCCATCCGTCCAGCGTTCGGGCTGGGTCCCCGCCCGAACGGAACGCGTGGAGGAGCGGGCATGGGAGCGGGCATGGGAGCGGGAGACGGGAACGCGGATGGCACGAGGGCGAGCGGGCTTCGGGGCCGACTTGGAGAACTGGAGGATGGCCTCGAAGGTCCTGGATCGATTCTTTCTCTACCTTTTCACTCTTCTCAACGTCGCCGTCTCCATCGGAATCATGCTGTATACCCCAATTTCGTGAATCGCAGTTCACTTCCCCAAATGTCTCTCATATTTTCACTTCCCTTCTTCAGATTTCCCCCCCCCCCTTCTCTTCCCCCGTGTTCCTTACTTCATTCTTCTCATTAGTAATGAGGAAAATTTGCCAGATTTGATGTGTCACGGAAGCACACATTTGTATGGCTGCTACTCCGTGTCGGCCATAGATCATTCGCAATTTCTATTCATAAAAACAAAAGAAGCTTGTATAGATGACTTTGCCGGTGAGGGGCCGACCATCGACGGCATCCGATCGCCGCATCAGCTTGCATTCTTCGTTGCCGGCCTGAAGGAGGAATGCCCTTTCGGAGTTCGGAAAGACTGGGAAATCGTGCAACGATTTTGAGTCAAGTTTCACCCAAGTCCTGCGTGCCGCCAGCACGAAGTCGTGTCACTCCATATCATTAATAAATTTTCGTCTTCTGTCGAGAGCATCAAAAGTTTACCCCAGAATTATTTCCAAACGTTTCAGAATATTTTGGACAAGCATTGTTCCGATCCTTGGAGGGGATTTTCATCCGGAGAGACCCGCCCTTTCGGGTGGAAAAATGTCACATCGTCGGTCTCAGCCAATCCAGTTGCAGAATCGTCTGCTAGAATCTCCGAGCGGTGCAATTATTTCCTTTTCACAAGGATCCACTCCTTCTATCGACGAGGGCACCTCAACTCTCGACGAATTCACCTTTAAGGGTCCACGGACCGACGAGGCAAAAGGTCCATTCGGAAGTGACAAAGGTCACAAAGGTCACAAGGACAAAGGTCACACGAAGCGGCGAAACGTAATGGGTGACAGACGCGGAGATGTTCCTCGAGCGATCCGAATCCATTCCGATGATTATGTTTTCTGTGAAAAGATTGCTCCATGTTTTTTTTTTCTGGAACGAAGTCGCTGATGCACATACATAAATGGCAATAGGCCCAAAACCCGGCATAATACGGACAAAAAAAGCATTAGTCTTCTCGGTTATCGTTTAAGGGAATTGAATAAGGTAAATGACACTGAATGAATATTCGGCGACGATTCTCAATATCCCAAACATCACTATCACCGCCCCATCATATGAGCAAGGAACAACTACGAAGCGATGCGTTGCATATCACGGAGAACATGAGAGGATTCAGGATGAAGAATAATGCAAAAGATCATAGGGTTGCATTGGCTACGTTCCAACAAACAACCCGAGTGAACCGAACTCCAACGACTGCGAAATGAAGCCCTGGAGCCCCATGGGGAGGGAATGACGAGTCTCGTCTGAGTTGGGTAAAGTATGGCAAATGGTACACAATTTCCCCTTTTAAAAAAAAAATCGATCGGTTCCTCGAGATTTAAATGATTTTTTAGAAGTAATTTCAACGGAATTAATGTGAATTGTTACCTTTATCCTCATGCGGAGAAAGCATTCCGACTCTCCATCTTCCTTTTGGCTTTGGCCCTCGAAGAAAGCATATAGGCGTTGAGAAGTTTTCATGCAGAATGGAAACAGAATGACGACCTGACCTTACTTGCCGCTCCGGAAATCACGCAAAGGACAAGATCCCAAGACTTCGATTAGTAAATACAGGTAACATCTTCATCCATGCGACATATGACGATAACGTAACGATGGCTTTCCTGGATCTGAGGAAAGAGCTCCCTGTGAGACGCCCCATGGAGGTCCTGGTAGATGCAAGACCCCCTAGGTGTCACGCCTCACCTCCCACCCTTCACCACGATCAAGAGATCCCCCTTATCAACCCTATAAATGACTTTTGTTCGCGGCCACTCCTCTTTCTATTTCATTCTGATACCCACGAACTAGAGGTAGAGTTATGTTTACATATTAACTCAGTAATTTAGCTTTTAAATTCCCAGAAATGAAGGCCAATGTCCATATATCGGACGCTTCTGAGGAGTCAAGTTCTCCCCCTTTCTCACTTTCGAATGCGGGGAGGTAAGGGAAGCGTGAGAGCTGAGAGGTCTAAGAGTTGCTACTATGAATTACAGCGCAACCTTTCGTTTAACGTGTGATAAGCGTTGTCCTACCCTCCCTCCCTATCCTTCGGCGTGGAGCCATTCCCGATCTCTCGACGTATCGGTATCTCTATTCCGTGGGATCCATGGAGAGTGTACAAGAAGAGGTGCCCCCCCTCAACTCAGTAATTCAACTTGAAAGCGCCCGGAAACGAAGTCCAGTGCTCTAGGATCGCTCGCACCTGAGGAGAGAATTTCTCCCCCTTTTTAGTCTCCGAGAGGTATGGGAAGTGAGAGCTGAAAGGTTGAAATGTAATGTAATCTATCTTATAGTCGGCTCAGACTTGTCCCGATCCACCTTTTTCCTATCTCCTTCTGCAATACATATATCCCCCATCTTATTCCTCTCGTATCGCTGATTGATTGCGAACTAGCTCGGTCCTCGAAGGCGTGGACTCCCTTTCATCACGGAGTAGAGACTAGAGGCTCCCACACCACTCGAATCCCATTCGTTGACACGGTCGCAATATATAGATGTCACTGTCGATCCTCCACCAAGCGTGCGCACATCATAAACTCCTCCGATGCCGAGTAGCGGACGAGACAAGACACGCGTGTTACCTTGAGGGATTCCTTTGGGTGGAATCCCCGGATGAGTCGATTCCCGATTCCGCTGCAGCGAAGCACGCCTCACGGCAGTTTTGTCGATACCAATCCACCAGATGTCTTTGTGATATTTCGACCCCCCTACCACTCGGAGTGTCGCCGCTAGTTATACCCTTTACTCTTTGCTATTATCCCCTCAGTGCGATCCTGGTCGCTCTAACCTACACTCTTAGAAAATTCCGAGCGTTTAGGGAGTAAAAACTGAGCACACAGTGAGCTTTTCAAATATACTCTCTTATTACTCACCAAATGCTCCCTCATCACTCGTAGTGAAGTGAACATCTTGAAGTTCTTCGCCACGCCACTAGATGGCTGTAAGGGTGCCGCTTTTCGCGCTGTACGCAAAAGTTCCCTTCCCTCTTTCTCTGGAATCGTCCCTCGCGGGATTCTTTTGTACCTCGACATATGTCTCGCCAGACTAGGCGAGACACAGAATCACATCATTATAGGAATCAAGAAACACGGACTTTCCTTAATTTGTTATCCACATATTCAGGATGGATTCATAGAGCCCAGGCCATAAACAAGCTCATATTCCTGACGAGAACCCTTTTGAAACTCACAACGATTTCATCCGCAGAGAAGATCTAGAACATATTGGGCACGTCTGTGAAGTCAATCATACCACTACCTCGAATTGTTGAGAGAATGAGGAAGTGAAGGATTGACGTCGCGGACACTTCATGGAACCGTAAGAGGTGGTCCACCCTTTGACATGTCCTATAACCAATGCAGTCGAAGGTTGGTCAACGCCTCTACTGTAGAGAGCGAAAGCGAAAGGATTTGCATGACATCCCTATCTCTTTCTGAGGGGAGCGTTTTTACTCATGGAGGAGGAGAGCCTTGTTAATCCTCGGTGATGGAGCAAATTCGCTCCTTTCCCAGAGTGAAAGGGGAGTGAAACTAGAGTTAGGGATTTTATTATCTTTTTTGAGAAAAATCGCTCCCCTTTTCCTAAGAGTGTATAGGAGCACGCCGACGACCTTCGAAGGCCCACTCTGGACACGTTTGAGATCTTCCTTGTTCATCATCCCTCTGTTCTTAAAAAAAAATATTAATCCAGACTTGTATCGGTGCTGATATATCGTGTCGTGATTCCCACCACCAGCAGAGAGAGAGAAACCGTAACAATAATATTTTGCGAAATGGGAAAATATTAGCACGACTACTTGACTACTTTCAAGACATGCTCAAAAAATTGGTTTCCGTCCCAGTCTCGTGTGAATTGATGTGAATTTAGCTTCTAAAATCCCAGAAATGAAGGCCAGTGTCCTAATATCGCACGCTTCTGAGGAGTCAAGTTCTCCCCCTTTCTCACCTCCGAATGGGGGGAGGTAAGGGAAGCGTGAGAGCTGAGAAGTCTGAGAGTTGATACTATGAATTACAGTGCATCTTTACGTTTAACGTGTGATAAGCGTTGTCCTATCCTCCCTCCCTATCCTTCGGCATGAGAGCCATTCCCGATCTCTCGATGTATCAGTATCTCTATTCCGTGGGATCCATGGAGAGTGTACAAGCAAGAGGGGCCTCCCCTTTAACTCGGTAATTCAACTTGAAAGCGCCCGGAAACGAAGTCCAGTGCTCTAGGATCGCACGCACCTGGGAGACAGGTTTCCCCATTCATCCTCCTCGAGGGGGGTGGGGGGCGGAAGAGAGCCGAGAGCCGACGAGCGACATCGTAGGAATCATCACATTAATTAAAATGGAAACGGACACGACGCCTACATCTGTGAGCACCAAGAACTCCTTCTCACTCGATGCGATTCCGTCGTCGGGAATGGCCCCGAGAGAGCGGGAACTGCAACGA